TTTAACTATTTTAAAATTCACGTAATATCAAAATCACCCTTTTAACCATTTAATTCAGTGACATTAAGTATGTTGCCAACCTTCACTAACCACTATCTAGTTCCAGAACGTTTTCATCACCCCTAAAGGAAACTCTGCCCAGTAAGCAGTCAGTCCTCATTCTCTCTCATCCCCGGCCCCTGGCAACTACTCATGTGCTTTCAGGCGATATGGTTCTGCCTATTCTGGTTATATCACAGAATGGAATTATACAACTTGCAGCCTTTTGTGTTTTGTTTATTTCATTAGCATAATGTTCTCAGGGTTCATCCATGTTGTAGCATGATCTATCGGTACTCCATTTGTTTTGATGCCCAGATAGTATTCCATTGCGTGGATATACCACTGTCTATCCATTCATTGTTTGATGGACATATGGGTGATTTCTACCTTTTGACTATTGTGAATAGTGATGCTATGAACATCAGTGTAGAAGTTTTTGTTTGAACAAATGTTTTATATCCTAAGAATGGAATTGCTCAGTCATATAGTAGTTCAATGTTTAACTAGTTGAGGAACCGCCAACCTGTTTTCCATGGAGGTTGCACCATTTTGTACTTCCACTAGCCATGCACAAAGTTTGATTTTTTTCCCCATCCTCATAACACTTGATATCATCAGGGTTTTTTGGGTTTTTTGTTTTTTTGGGGTTTTTTTTGTTTTTTTGTTTTTTTTTTTAATAGAAGCCATTCTACTGGGTATCTTAAGTGGTTTTGTTTGTTTGTTTTTAAAAATTATTTTATTTAGTTTTATTATCATTATAATCTTTTGAAAATTTGAGCAGAGAGAGACAGAGTGAGAGGGAAAGTGTCAAAGCAAGCCACCAGGTCTGGGACTCAAACTGTGGTAGGCCATGTGGGAGTCCAGTGCCCTAGCCACCATACCACCTGCTGGTTCCTCACATATGGTTTTGATTTTCATTTTTCTAATGACTAATGATGTTGAGTATTTTTTCTGTGCTATCAGCCATTTATATATCTTCTTTGAAGAAATGTCTATTCAAGTCCTTTGCCCATTGTGTATAGAGGAGGGATATGAGGGTCTAGATATGGATTTTTTGTATCTTGGTCAATTTTCCTAGCCTTCTGAGTAGCTGGAGCTACAGGCATGTACCACTGGACCTGGCTTAGGGTAGGCCAAGAATCAAACCTGGGCCTCCCATGTGGCCTTAGCCTGCCAAGCAGCAGCTTGTAGCGCACACTGCCATAGCTGGAACCTTTGCCACTTTATAAAATGGGTTGTCTTTCGTTGAGTTACATGTGTTCTGGAGAAAAGATATATGATTTGCAAATCTTTTCTCCCATTTGATCTTGTCTTTTCACTCTTTTGATAGTGTCCTTCAATACACACAACTTTTCAACTCTAACGAAGTTTATCTATTTCATACTTCATTGCTTGTGCTCTTGGTGTCATGTCTCATAAGCCACTGGCAAATCCAAGGGCATGAAAGTGTACCCCCACATTTTCCTCTAATTAGCTTTTATATTTAGGTCTTTGACTGATCGTGAGTTAATTGCTGTTTCTGATGTAAGGGCTCAATGCCATTTATTGAATGCTTTTATTGTGAAAGGGTTTGAATTTTGTTAGATACTTTTTCTGTGTTGTCAACCTGAAATAGAGATCAGACCCATGCTTGTCCAGCAAGCAGAGTTTAATTCAAGCCAAAAGGTGAGGATAACTACCCCGATGAACACAGATCCCAGGAGACCAGAATCCATAGTCATCCAAATGTCCTCCAAAAGGAGTTTTCTTTTATAGAAAAAAATGGGAAAGAATGAAGGTTTAAAATTTTCATTTTCCCCTAATAGCAAAAGTTATTTTTCACATATTGAAAGAACAGCACAAGTTTCTGATCAGCTTTCTGCAGTTCCATACATCTTACATCTCAGTAACACAGCTACTGGCAGGATGTGGGGTTACAATGAACTGTGTGCAGTTCATGATAATTTAGGGTTGTTTGGTTTTAGTGCCAGCAGTCAAGCAATTCTTTGCTTATAAGGTGTATCCTTGACCAATTACTTCAGACAGGTGTGTGGGGGACGTAACTGAGACTTAAAATCCCAACAGAAGGGGGACACAGAGGAGATGGGATTGTGGTGTGGCCATCCCCATGCAGAGGTGCTTTCTTGCTTTCCCTCTCTCTCTCCATTTTTGGTTTTTGCTATAGAGTGTGTGCACTTGCTGGAGAGACACAGAGAGATGGAAAGCGAGAAACCACCCCCTAAGAGGGATGGCTATGGCATAATCCCTTCTCCTTCATTCTCTTCTTGGGATTTTGGACACACGCACACATGTGCCTGGCATGATTTTCATGCTGCCAAGACTGGGACTTGAACTGTGATCAGCCACGTGGAAGTCCAGCTCCTCAACCACCATGCCACCTACTAGCCCCTCCTTCTCTCTTTGTCTCTCTCTGGGTGAGCGGCACATGCCCTCTGGCAAATTAAAAAAAAAAAAAAACAATAAGCAAACAAACAAACAAAAACCCACAGAAATTTATTCTCTTACAGTTCTGGGGTCAAAAGCCCAAAACTAGGTGTCAGTAGGGTTGGTTACTTTTGGAGGTCCTCCGGGAGAATCTTCCCATGTTTTGCTCCTAATGTCTGATGGCTGGCTGCCAGCCGTGTTTGGTGTTCCTTGGCAAGCAATTCCAGCTTTAGCCCTCAGTAGCTCTGTGAGCCAGGCCCAAGCTGATAACCACAGCTTTCTGGACTGGAATGTCTGCCACGTGCGGGGCACAATTCCAATGCACGTGTGGACCCAGTAAGCCTCACCTCACCTGATGACGTACAGGTACTGTTATCCCCATTTTCCAGATGAAGAAATTGAGGCGCAGAGAGGTGCGAACATTTTGCAGGATCATACAGCTAGTGAGCAGTGGCTCTGCGGTTTGGGCCCGGGCGGTGTGCCTCAGAGCCTGCGCTGGCCATGATCCCGTGCAGTCAAGTTTCTATCTCACTAAGTCTCAGCGTCCTCACGTGTCACATGGGAATAGCAGTTATAATGCTTTGGGGCTGTCGTGAGAGGACGCGTTCTGACCACATGAAGCTCGTACCCCCGTGAGTGCAAGTAGCCAGCCTGGAGAACTGTGATAGGCAGCCAGGTGACCTGCACAGCTGACCAGAACTGGGCTGACAGGTCTTGAATTCAGTAGTCCGAAGTCCCTACACTGCCATGACAGCAGGACTTTGGGAAACTCTGTGTCAGCACTCTAGGTCAGGGTCCCCTTATGTCTAGATATGAAAGTTTTCTTGTGAACATGCTGCTACCAAATAGGAGAGGTGGGACTTGAACCCAGGTGAGACCAGTGCCTGAGAGCCTGCACTGCCTTACCCTTGTTCCTTTTACCCTTGCTCTTGCTTTTTGCTACCATGGCCTCCATCTCTTCATCTCAGGCTTCCGTGCTGTAATTCCATGTTCCTAGAATACCTTCTCTCATTGCTACCACATGAAAAAAACGCTCATAATGGACCAGCGTAGGTGCCACCGCCTCCACCATGAGCTCTCCTGTTCCAAACCCAAAATCTAATGTTCTCTCCGCCTCCTTGGAGCCTCTGCAGCTGTCCATTCCCCCTCTTTGCTACTAACCAGCCTTGGGTAGTTTTCTCTTTCCTCACACTTGTGGGACGGAGGGCCCTTGAGGGTTCCACCTTGCAGCCTGCAATGCCCCATAGCCAAGCCTTGTCTTCCTATGTCCACTATGGAGCTGTGGGCTGCTGGAGCCACAGGCCAGAGATAGAGGCCAAGGGGCTGCCCTTGAAGCCTGGGGCTCGGCAAGGAGTGAGGATCCCAGAAAATGACAGCAGAGAGCTCTGTGTAGGGGTCAGAGCCCCTTTGCATCTGCTCTGGTCACACAGGCGTCCATGGAGCAGTGACCAGGGCATGTGTCCGAATAGTGCACAATCAAGTCCTTGTGTTGTTGTCATCGCTGCTGTCTTGTAAAGCATAGCTGAGTCATTAGTCAGGGTCGTGGTTTGCACCAGGAGCGTGCATGAGAATCTTCGTGAAACCTTATGAAGACGCAGAACGCCAGACCTCTACCACCAGTCTGCTGAGTTGGAATCTCTGGGAGGTCAGCCCTGGGCAGTTGGATTTGTAAAGCTTCCCATCCACAAGAAACAATGGTATTGGTGATCTCCAGGGAGGCAAGGTGAGAGGAGGGCTATTCACTTTAGTTCTTTTTGAATTTTGAGCCAGGTAAGTATATTACCTGTTCAAAAAATAAGTTATTTAAAAGCGAGCATAGGGCCAGTGGTTGGCATAGTGGTTAAGGCACTGGACTGCCACTTGGCCAGCTGCAGTTTGAGTCCTGGACCTGGAGGCTTGAAGCTCATGCTGGGCCGGTGTGTGTGTGTGTGTGTGTGTGTGTGTGTGTGTGCCCAGAATCCCAAGAGAAGAATGGAGGAGAAGGGATGGCCGTCCCCCCCCCCCCTCTCTTTAAAAAAAAAAAAAAAAAAGAAAGCACATTAAAAAACTGCTAGTTGTTTATGTTCACAGAAACAGGTGGTAGGAGGGGAAGGATAAAAGGATGCTTGCAGATGGTTGAACACTGCAGGGTGGACAGGAGGCGGAGGTGGGAGGTGGGGTTCTTTTCCATCGTAATGTTGTATTTCTCTAAAAAGAGAGTGTGAAGCACAATGGCAAAATCTGCTCAGTTGGTGTGGTGAGTAAATTGGTGTTTGTTCTATTTGTTTCTGCTTAAGAGATTTTATAGTTAAAGCAAATAAACATTTAAAATTAAAACAAACTAGTAAAAAATAATCCATGCACAGAGGGCTCTGTTGTACTCCTGGCTAGCCCCCAGGAGACTGAGAGGAAAGGCGACTCACTGATCTCCCTCAGGAAGGACGTGTGGGTTAAGTGCTTCCTGTGTGTCATTAGCTCCATTTTCCAGGACACACGAGCGAGCGGGGTCCCTGAGGCCTCAGGCCTGCTTCCCTGTTTGTTTCTTTGTGTTTCAGGTGTTTGTGGCCAGTCCTCACAAAACCCAGCCCATTGTGGAGATTCTATTAAAAAATCAACCCAAACTCATTGAGTTTCTGAGCGGCTTCCAGAAGGATAGGACGGACGATGAGCAGTTCGCGGATGAGAAGAACTACCTGATTAAACAGATCCGGGACTTGAAGAAGACAGCCCCTTGAAGATCTCGCCATTTCCCGCCACCATCCTTTGTCTCATTTACCCAGTTTGTACATTGAGTGTCTTTTCAAAAAGTTAGTGTTCTGGGACGGTTTTGGAGGGGCCTGTTTTTTCCCCAATTCCTTATTCAGGTTAGATGAAATATAAGTGTTTGAATGGAAAAAAGAACCTAGAAACCTAGAATAATATGTTGATTTTAATCAAGTCTGTGATTACGTGAAATCAGAGCCATTGTGTTAGAGTTTGATAAAAGTGGTTGTAACTTGCAGACCCGAGCACTTGGTCACCAAGTAGGACCCCAAACAAAACGGACCCCTGAGCCTTCCTTGAGGCCTGAGTTCTTCAGGGCGAACTGGGAATGGGGCCAGGATGTGAAAACCGTATTGTCATCTGCCCTTACTCAGATTTCTCAAGGCACCGAAAGATCCCAGAGAAGGTTACTGTTTTCAGTCATTATGTGTCCCTTTGTCTCTGCCTCCCATCTTTTGACTGTAATTAGTGGTTCCTAAATTCCTAGTGGGAACTGGGCCCACCCTTCAGCCCGGCACTCCCTTCTGCTCATTGGCCCATGTTCTGTCCTGCTCCGCCTGCGGCCCAGTTAACACAGGAGAGAGTGAGGAGGAGGAGGCCGGATCAACAAGGGTTGGGGGCACAGAGGTCCCAGGCGGTGTGACCCACTCCTAGAGAACTGCAAACAGAAGCTTCTAGATAGAGTCACTGCTGTTCCACATCGACGTCTGGAGGGTCAGTGGGTGACATAGTTCATGCATAATCGCCATTATGGGAAGGCTGCTTTGTGGGGCAAGTGCATCTGAGTGAGGAATCATTGAACTGGGATGCCCAGCGGGTGCAAAACCAGAGGGCTGTGGTAGGAGAACTGTTATCAATACGGGGACATTGCCCTTGGCAGGCAAAGTGATTAATGCATGAAAAGATTCTCAAATGACTTAATAATATCATCTTCAGTTTGCTTTCTAATTTGTCATTCTATAATTGCCTATCGAAGTCCTCAGTGAAAAGATAGAAAACCTATAAAACTTCGGCCCCTGGTACCCTCTTGCACCCTAGGGAGATTAAGGAGTTAATCTGTGTTCCTTAAAAAACAAACAAACAAACAAAAAGTGGAACCAAAACCTAAATGTCAAAAGGTCATGATTTGTTTTCAGACATCAAGGGTATAAAATGGAATGTGAGAGTTATATTTACAAGGTATTAAAGGTACAATTGCTAGTGTGGTTTTTTTATTTATTTACTTTTTATAATTCTATTTCTAAATCATGACTCCTGCCTTCCTTGGGAACACTCACTTTTTACAATCCATGGGCACCGTGTCCTTTTTCTTCAGCCAGGTATTTCTCTACGCAGAGAGGAAAAGGGAACTGTTCTCTGGGACCAGTGGCCTTTGTAGATCTTGCTGCTGAAGAATCGCCTGGCTGGCGTCACCCCCTAAGCTGGGCGCAGGTGTGTGCGGCTTCCCGACCCTGCACGGAACCCTGAGGCAGATGGCCGACCTCCTGGGCCTTCCCAGCGGCTCTGGCCAGCGCTAGCGTCGGAGGGTCAGCCGGCCGCCCTGACGGCCTGCCTCTTCTGTCACTGACGTCACGGTATTTTTATAATTGCCAGGGCCCCATAGAATTTGACTTTTCTACTTTTGTTTGCTAAATTCAAAGAGATGAGTTTAGATATTTTAAAAAATGAAAGTGAACTAACCATTGGAGCTTTATTTAGTTACTTAATACTGTTCCACAGCATCACGGGACACATGTTTTTAATCAGAAAGGCCTCATTGTAATTTTTTCTTCTTTGATAAAGGAAGTAGAGTTTATTTCGTTTGGGCTTGAATCAGCTCTTCCCCAACAGTCCCTTATCCTAGCTCAGGACCTGTCAGACACTAGGCCCTGGGGTTTGTCATGATACAGATTTATAAGTTATTTATGTGAAGTGGAGCAGGACACTCACAGTCAAAATATATTCATATTTGCAGAGCTCACCGTAAGTATTCTGAGAATCGGATTTTGCAAGGGGCGTATTTAATAAGCTATTACAGAAGCACACATTTAAATAAAGACTGACGAGATTAAAAGCTACCACACACACGCCTTGGCTGGTTCCATTGCCCTGCATGTCATGTGCTGTGTTCTTGTCACCACTGCCAACAGGGAAAGCCCCAGGCTGGAGGGAGACCAGCCTCGCAGGGCACTGAGGCCGCACGACACCCCAGCACCATCCTCCCGTGTGCTCTGCCCACAGTGGTCGCCTCCACATTTCCTCGACTGAGCCGTGCTCCCGCCAGGCGCTGAATGTATACCTCCCAGTACCGATGCCCCCCACAGCTGGAGTCATCCCATCTCCTACAGGAGGACATTGGGGTTCCGAGCGGCTTAACTGCCTGGATCTCGTGTGAGACACAGTAGATACAAACCCACGGTGGCTCAAGGCCAAGCTCCTGTGCTTTGTCCCCCTTCTTGTGGGTGGCGTGTCAGGCACTCTGCCGAGCTCTCCCCTCCTGCTGTGGGGACGCTGTGAGGCATCAGGCTGGAGTTGAGGCCAGTTCCCATGACTGAGGACTTGATGTTCTCGGACCAGGCTTTCTTCCAAAGCCAGCGTCCGCCCACACTCTGAGATCTCTCTTGAGGAAAGACTCAGAGGCACATGCCCCTTGCAGATGCTTTTCAAGCCTCTGGGCTCTCATCTTCCAATGCTCTGGGAGCGGTGTGTGTATCTGGCGGTGTGCGTGCCCAGTGGTGTGGGTGCCAGCGGTGTGCATCTCCCATGAGACCCAGCAGCTGCGAGCTCCAGTGCAGTCGGGACGGTGCACGATGGTGTGGAGGAAGTGAAATTCAGAAATCACTAGGACTAGTTCTAATGTGAAAAGCTAGTTGTCTCACAGTAGGTCTATACATCTTGCTAGTCCGATTATATCGACACATACACACACGGAAATACATGTATTGCAGGAAATTAAAATTGTGTTTTGTCTATTTCATGGGGCATGAATAATCATCACCTTTTCGTAAGTGTTTTTGTTTGAAAATGGGAAGTCAGGGCCTGCAGGTGGCATGGTGGTTGAGGGCGCTGAACATGGCCAACCACAGTTCGAGTTCTAGACCTGGTGGCTTGCTTTCTCACTTTCCCCCCCTTCTCTCACTCTGTCCCTCTCTAGTCAAATTGAAAAATAAATAAAGTTAAATAATTAATAATTCTTTTCAAATAATAATTGAAAAAAACCAGGATGTCACTGTGCTACAGTGCTATCTCAGCCTCCCCAGTAGTAGGGGTCTAAAATGTATGTCACCATGCCACCCTTCGCATGGCTTCTTTTTTTAAAAATTTTATTTCTTTTTCATGAGAGAGATAGAGACAAGCACCCTCACCAGGGTCTGATGCCATGTCTCCTACCCTCCCCCAGCCTTCTCAGCCATGGGATCTGGGCACACACACCTGACATGCACAAATCAACCAGGGGACTGAACCTGCGACCTTCCACACGAGCCCAGCATTGCTTGGGCAGCACCCCACCGCTGCACCACTGAGCCAGCGCATTAACACGAGCGCTCTCTCTGGAAGGTTTTGGACATTTTAGTGATACCTCACAGCCGGATGCAGATCTGAAACATATGCTACCAGCAGACCTTGAAATGCTGGGCTTAATCTCCAAAGATTGAAAGATTGAAGACAGAGGTGAGCAAGGATATGATTTTTTGGGGGAGTGAGGGTGGGGAGAGAGGTTTTTGCTATAAGGTGCATGCACTCACCAGAGAGACAGAGAGACAGAAAGCGAGAAATCACCCCCCCGCCCCCGGGATGGGTAGCCACGCCGCAATCCCTTCTCCTCCATTCTCCTCTCAGGATCTTGGGCACACACGTGCATGCGCCCAACGTGAGTTTAAGCCACCAGATCCGGAACTCGAACCACAGTTGACTACATGGGAGTCCAGCGACATAGCCATTACGCTAACTGCTGGTCCCAGCAAGGATATGATTTTGCTTTTGAAATATAGAAAATGCTGGTGTATTGACTTCCTGTGTGTGCCTTTCTTCTTTACCTTTTTCCGGTTAAGGTTTTTGCGATAGGGTGTGTGAGCTCACCACAACGAAGACAGAACAGAACGGTAGGCCCAGCCTGCACTGTCCCCTGCACAGATGTCTCATTCACATCTCCACGAGATGCAGGAGGACACTGAGCTGCAGAAAGGATCGTAACTGGCCCCAGGTCAAACAGTACACCCTTCTCTCACTCTGTCCCTCTCTAGTCAAATTGAAAAATAAATAAAGTTAAATAATTAATAATTCTTTTCAAATAATAATTGAAAAAAACCAGGATGTCACTGTGCTACAGTGCTATCTCAGCCTCCCCAGTAGTAGGGGTCTAAAATGTATGTCACCATGCCACCCTTCGCATGGCTTCTTTTTTTAAAAATTTTATTTCTTTTTCATGAGAGAGATAGAGACAAGCACCCTCACCAGGGTCTGATGCCATGTCTCCTACCCTCCCCCAGCCTTCTCAGCCATGGGATCTGGGCACACACACCTGACATGCACAAATCAACCAGGGGACTGAACCTGCGACCTTCCACACGAGCCCAGCATTGCTTGGGCAGCACCCCACCGCTGCACCACTGAGCCAGCGCATTAACACGAGCGCTCTCTCTGGAAGGTTTTGGACATTTTAGTGATACCTCACAGCCGGATGCAGATCTGAAACATATGCTACCAGCAGACCTTGAAATGCTGGGCTTAATCTCCAAAGATTGAAAGATTGAAGACAGAGGTGAGCAAGGATATGATTTTTTGGGGGAGTGAGGGTGGGGAGAGAGGTTTTTGCTATAAGGTGCATGCACTCACCAGAGAGACAGAGAGACAGAAAGCGAGAAATCACCCCCCCGCCCCCGGGATGGGTAGCCACGCCGCAATCCCTTCTCCTCCATTCTCCTCTCAGGATCTTGGGCACACACGTGCATGCGCCCAACGTGAGTTTAAGCCACCAGGTCCGTAACTCGAACCACAGTTGACTACATGGGAGTCCAGCGACATAGCCATTACGCTAACTGCTGGTCCCAGCAAGGATATGATTTTGCTTTTGAAATATAGAAAATGCTGGTGTATTGACTTCCTGTGTGTGCCTTTCTTCTTTACCTTTTTCCGGTTAAGGTTTTTGCGATAGGGTGTGTGAGCTCACCACAACGAAGACAGAACAGAACGGTAGGCCCAGCCTGCACTGTCCCCTGCACAGATGTCTCATTCACATCTCCACGAGATGCAGGAGGACACTGAGCTGCAGAAAGGATCGTAACTGGCCCCAGGTCAAACAGTACAAAGCAGAGCCAGGGCTGACCCTGGCTTTGGAACCAGGCTGCAAGTCCAGGCCACCTCCCCCGAGGCCTGCCCTTCAGCTCCACCCCTCCACCCCGACCCTGGAGGCAGATGCTTCCTGCTG